AGGCCCCGCAGTAGTCGAAATTCGACTATAATTAATTGGAATTGTAAATTTGTACACAATTATGATTGTATTTTAAACTTCTATAATCACAAATTTCGCCAAGACTACACTATAAAAAATATTAACAAAGACAAACAATATTTAATCTATTCTCAATTTGACAACAGACGTCAAGAACAAAAGTTTGACAATAAATACCTATAGCATGCATACGTGTGTGCGTCAAATACATGGTATGTAGTGTGTGTAATGTTTTCTTTATTGATATAATGTATCTTTTATGCATTTATTTAAAAAAATATTAGCATTGTGCACTTCTTCTCTATATTCTCTATAAGTGTGAGAAATTTCATACTCCTCCGTCCGCGCAATTTTCGTAAAAAGGGACACAAAGTTTTTGCTTCACGTATTAATATATAGATTGATGCACCTTATTTCATCATAATGTCACCATACATGCCCAATTACATAACAATAGCGATCGCTAAGTCATCTGCATACGTCATCCATGACTACTGCTCGTAATATTATGGCTATACTATTACATCAGATTAAGAACATCAAAGCTACGCAGATGAAAACGTTAGCCCGTATCGAAGATCTAAACGGAGTGTGAAAACATAATTATAACCCTAACTCTTTTCTTAATAAATTACAAAAAATATATATACACAGTTAACTTGACTCCTCCCACACAACGATTTGATCGCATTAAAGAATACCGCATTGTTTTAACCAGATATTTCGAATTAAGTACCACTAGACTCTTATCATTAATCTTAATTGTGGAATAACAATAAAATATTAACGGAGAGCTCCGGATCTATGTTACGAAAATGTACTTTAATATTGAAACGTTAAAGCGTATTTCTAATGACTAATTGTCGGCGCATTAGAGGCTTATAAAAACTGTATCGTGGGAATTCTGTCGATAGATGTGGCTCATCTATTTTCTGATCGATCTAGATGGAATCTATATTATCAGCTATGTGATATTGGGCGGTCTAATCTAAGTCCGGGATTGGGATTTAAATGTAGTATCTTTTGTACTTTTATTCCTATCTCTGGAATTACTTTTAAATGCTTTTTAAAGGCGAATAACTACCTATCCCACTTGCTCAATATTTATCAATTTCAATGTCTCTTGATCGAAGTCTTTATTTTTTATCCTCATATTCAAGAAAAATTGTGATCTCGTTTATTTTTGACCCGAAGTGAAATGCTCAGAATCTGTACCAATAATCAGGCTGTTTAACTTTTGCAAATTTTAAAATCTGATTACACGTCACCGTGTGAACATGTTCAGTACGTAATTACTTAGTAATATTATTAATCAGCTCGAGTATTTAATTTCGGTCGATAAATTGTAGAATTCAGAAATTGCAGGTACGTTCGCACGCTAGCTTTAGTCATTAATACTGTTTGAGTTTTTTTTTTAATATGCGCATATCATGGGCTCATAATATATTATGATGGTACAATCTGAGTAATGTAGAAAATAATTATTGATATTTTATTGGTATCATATGTTGACAATAAATGGTGAAGTTCAACTGTACCTTAGTTATACCTTTTTTTTTGCTTAGGTGGATGGACAAGCTCACAGTTCCCCTGGTGTTAAGTGGTTACTGGAGCCCATAGACATCTACACCGTAGATGCGCCACCCACCTTGAGATATAAGTTCTACGGTCTCAGTATAGTTATAATTATAAAAATTTAATATAGACAAAATACTACCGAATCGCTCTATCATTTTTTAACATGTTTTTTTTTTATTAGTTTCGCTGGCACTCATATATAATAGATTGATTACCCGGATGCGTCGATAAATAATAAACATTCGCCGATATAATTATAAACAATGCTGGTAATATTAGAAGAGTTATGATGCGGATCTAATGTCTTCGATTCGAGTTTATGAAAGATCAACAATTAGTTTTAAAAGTCAAGTAAGATGAATTGTTGACGTTATCCGAAGGTAATTATGTGAAGATAATTTTGCGTGTTTTTGTTAAATTTGTATATTAATATTTTAAACTTTAAATATGTTTTTTTTTGTAGGACAAAGATGTGCGGGCTCACGGAAGCTCATGTTCTCGGTATAATTTTGTTTGACCCTATTCGAAAATTACGCATTTGTGTTAAATGATAATTTTTTTTTATTGCCCTTGTAGGCAGACGAGCATACCGACCCACCTGATGGTGAGTGGTTACCGTCGCCCATGGACTTCAGCAGTGCCAGGGGCAGAGCCAAGCCGCTGCCTATCGCTGATATTTATCTAGGACTATTATGCTGTAAAGTTCTTCAAGGCTTCGCAGACAGAATTAGAACAAGCTCACGGGCCTCTTAGTGTTAAGTATCTACCAGAGCCCAAGCTGTGGTCATGAGTGCCGCCACGCACTTTGAGACATGAACTTAAAGTTTCAAATGTATATTATGTATGGCAACAATAAAACTCTTCAAAGTTAAATGGGAAAGTACAACTACTTTCCGGCAGAAATGAGTAAACAACAGCAGATTTTTTAATTTTCAATTGTGACATTTTTGAGTTCAGGGAACCACTTAACAGAAAATTGTATGATGACCGATTTCGGCCATGGCGACCACTTTGACTCCTACTTGATAATTGAATACTTTAGGCAATTTAAATTTTTACTTTTTATCGCTTCATACAAAACCATCCAAACATAAGAAAGAATCGAAGAGAAAATATTTTACCAAGCATACACCAGATTGTGTATTTGAGCGAAGACACTGGTGGTAGGAGGACCTCTTGGGAGTCCGCACGGGTAGGTACCACCACCCCGCCTATTTCTGCCGTGAAGCAGTAATGCGTTTCGGTTCGAAGGGTGGGGTAGCCGTTGTAACTATACTGAGACCTTAGAACTTATATCTCAAGATGGGTGGCGCATTTACGTTGTAGATGTCTATGGGCTCCAGTAACCACTTAACATCAGGTGGGCTGTGAGCTCGTCCATCCAGCTAAGCAATAAAAAAAAAGATTGATAATACCCGATCGCTTCGTTTCGTTATGATACTTCCTTAAACGAACTATTAATCACAATTTGAACACATTGACCGGCTATCATTACACATACATCTGCTCCTTGGTAGCGACGTTTCACACGAGCCGACCGCCAAAACAACTACGTACAGGGTGTACTACTACACAGGGTTGTTTCCGAAGTCGTACCAGTAACTATTGCTCTGACCGAAATGATTTTCTTTATTGACTGAGTTCAAAAAAACCACTTGTTGGTTTAGTTAGGTCATATTTTATCAGCCTTCAATACAAAGCGTATGCAGGCATTTAACGTTGTAACGAAGCGCAATGATAACTCCTTCTTCAAACGTTTTACTGGTGGTAGGACCTCTTGTGAGTCCGCGCGGGTAGGTGCCACCGCCCTGCCTATTTCTGCCGTGAAGCAGTAATGCGTTTCGGTTTGAAGGGTGGGGCAGCCGTTGTAACTATACGTGAGACCTTAGAACTTATATCTCAAGGTGGGTGGCGCATTTACGTTGTAGATATCTATGGGCTCCAGCGACTACTTAACACCAGGTGGAATGTGAGCTCGTCCACCTGTCTAAGCAATAAAAAAAACGCGGTTTTAAAAAAACACTGAGGGGTTGCCAATTGTCTAAAAGTGATCGAGTTTAAGAATGACGTGGAGCGTAGACTCATTTTTCTTCAAAACATTTTCCTATATTAGTTTCAATTTAATACACTTTGGCCATTTTAAGTTGTCCTAAAGTAAATACTAGAGGACCGATAGAGGAGAAACGGATCCTGAAAATAATTTGTTTGTTTCGGAACACCCTGTATAAGGCACATGAGTGCAGCCGCGGCAAACAATGAAACGCGGTGATTAATTTATCGGTGCTCGGACTAACGAGGAACTATTCGGGGTCAGATTCTATGTCATTTGTAACTGGATCGCTGTGCCCACCTCCGAGAGGCTGTGAGAGGAGGAATCAAACAGGATTTTTTTTTATTGGTTAGTTGGGTGGACGAGCTCACAGCCCATCTGGTGTTAAGTTGTTACTGGAGCGTATAGACATCTAAAATGTAAATGCGCCACCTACCTTGAGATATAAGTTCTAAGGTCTCAGTTAGTTACAACGGCTGCCCCACCCTTCAAATCGAAACGCATTACTGCTTCATGGCAGAAATAGGCGGGGTGGTGGTACCTACCCGTGCGGACTCACAAGAGGTCCTACCACCAGTAAAGTAAATATTAATAAGCCATACTTTAAATTAAGTAAAATACAGAAAGTTTAAGATTATTTTGGAAGTTACAAAAATTTGTTATTTACCACTACCACTACCATTGACGTTTTAAAAAAGCGTCGGCAAAAAAATTGATCCCCTTTCTTAATTTGTATTACGAATAAAAGTGTTTTTTGTTTATTTGTGTGATTGTAATTTATGCCTATGCACATTATTCGATTATGTTGAAGTTATTCGCTTATGTGAGTTGAAGTTTTGTGCAACTGTTGGCAATCCAAGTCAGGTGTAACCACCATTGAATTTCCGTGACATCATGCAAAACCTAAGCATGAACTCAATAAGAATTCGGCATCCTTAAATACAATTGCTGTTGGGAATAAACTACGACATTTCACCGAAAACAAAAAAAGGTCTATAAAAATAGCGGTATAATTTGTTTTCACTTGAAAACTAATTTTAGATACTTTAAGGCAGTCATATATGTTAATCTTTACTCATTTTTACCACAGAGAATATGTAAAACGTCCACACAGATTTCGCCACAGAGTACCTATGTGACACTACACGCTGAGGTTATAGATTCAGGGAAATTTTAAACTTTCGAACCATATTTTAGTATCTAAATAGTTAAAAACTTCCATTTCAGGCAAACCATTAGCATCATAACAAAATTATGAAATTCCAAAATTTAAATTAATAGTGAAACAAACGTGTGCAACGTTAAGTCGACTACATATTACTACAACTATGGATAATGAATGTTGACTTACCATAGAATGCCCGAGGTATTCAGCCGCGTTGTCAGATATGTAAAGCAGTTTCCCATTTTGCGTCATCATCATCAGAAACCCGTTAAGTGCCTGTCGGAAAACAACAATCGTAATATTAAATGAATAATAACATTTAAGTTTTATTGTTAGTGAAAAAAACTATATAATGAGATGACTTGTACAAATATCATATTTAATTGCTGTTTATATTTTACATCGTTTTATTCAAGAATGATTCATTTATAATTCCGGGTAGTAGTGTACTGTTTAGATGTCGATCATCGAAAACCTGATCGAACTGTTACAACATATTGACTTTTGCGTTGACAGACGATTTCGAGATGATTTAAATAATAATACGATCCAAAGACAAAATAATATGTCAATATCGGATTAGTCGTAACGTGTTTAGTAAATCGGCAGTGTCGGAGAAATGCCAATGGCACTAATGCGCCCACAGTTCCCTTTTTCGAACGACATATAAGTTTTCTCTTTCATTCTCTTCTATCAGCCGCTCATACTCACTCCTCTCTCTAATTTTTTTTTTTATATTTTATTGCCATTGTAGGCAGACGAGCATACGGCCCACCTGATGGTGAGTGGTTACCGTCGCCCATGGACTTCAGCAATGCCAGGGGCAGAGCCAAGCCGTTGCGTACCACTTTGATATCTCTCATATCGTCATTCACACTCCATCCATGTCTTCTTCAGTCGACCTCTTCCCCTCTACCTTAAATAAATTATCTTAAATAAATTTATCATTATGCTCTTATTAAACGTCCCCCTTTCAGAAGTATTTTTGTTTAAGTCCAAACAAAATATTAAGACAGCTAAAAAGCTCCCAACTTATGATTAAAACTCAACGAATTAAAGTTAATAAGTGGTTCCAATGGACCACACCTCCATAATACTTGGTTTTACGTAAGGGATGTTTTGTCCCTCTCTGACCGGCAACAAAGGCAATAAATAAAGCGAGATGCTGAAATTGAAATTAATAGTAAAGATTTGTAAAAATTTGAATTTGAAGCGTGGGAAAGAAACGTGATAATAAGTTCAAAGTAATTTTGTGGTCAAATATTTATGATTCTCGAAATATAATTTACAATTGCATGTTCAGATGATACCTAGTATACTCATGGTTAGATGGGTTGGTACCATAATCCTGTATATACCTGCCGTGAAACAGCGGTTCGGTTTGAAGGATGGGGCAGCTGTTGTACTACAACAACTAAGACATAGAACTCATGTCTCGAGGTGGCATTTATGTAAGTTGTCAACGTCTATAAGCTCCGATAACCATTTAACGCAAACAAACAAACAAAATACCTATAATGCATTGTAAGTAGGTATCAGCGAACAGCATATCTATGCTCTTAACAGGTTAAGGACCGAGGTTTTTTAGCGATTTTTGTCAAAAGTAATTAAATGCATATGGATAAAGAATTACTCAAATAAGCTATTCCTACTTTTAGTTTTTTGATTATGCAATTATAATGTCTAATATTCCCCCTTCAATGTTATAGCTACTAGCCCAGATGAGCCATGGCGATACGCGTTTCTTACATATTCAATAGAAAACTTGCGGTCAGGGATATTCTGGGCAGGTGAGTTGCGGCGATCTCAAAGGGACCGCTTATTATGTTTTGGCAAAGTTTTGGCAAAAAAATACTATCCACCCACAGGACTGCTTCGGTCATTAACCTGTTAAGCAGTTATATTTTATATTTTCTATTCAAAATACAATTTAATCTTGAAATAGTTGGCACTCATGACGTAATGTTTATGCTCACTTATTGGACGGGCCGCAAGATGGCTTATTTTTATTTTTTTTATTGCCCTTGTAGGCAGACGAGCACACGGCCCACCTGATGGTGAGTGGTTACCATCGCCCATGGACTTCAGCAATCCCAGGGGCAGAACTAAGCCCCTGTCAACCGCAAACGCAAAATTAAACGGTAAAAGAAAAATCGAAGTATTAATTGACTTGGTTTCTGTGGATTTCATAAAACACAAATTATATTAATGCCCCCTATACATAATACATAACTTCTATAATTCGAATAGTAAATACCTTTGAGAATCCGAAATTCGATGACGTCGTTGGTTGATGGCTTATGTCAAAGCGTTTGAATACTGTAACAAAAAAAAACACAACATTAACAAATTTGTTTAAAAAAGGAGCAAGAAGAAAACTAGATAAGGTTGAAAACGCAAAAAAATCGAAGTAACTAGAAAACATAATAGTCCAGTTTTCAATATAATGAGTTTGACATTATGATTTGTAAATATATTTTGTTTCTCAGTAGGTATATACATATATATCGATGTTGACAATATCGATGTCACACGCTATACGGAATAAACTCGGTGCTTAATTAATCGATAATATCTATCGATACTTTCACGTGTACTAGGAAGGTACGATAAACAATAACCAGAGCACTGATAATATCGATAAGCTTGGCCTCTGGTTTAGCTGTTAGGGTTCGTTCACACCAAGACTGTAAATCGATAATAGTCGGTTTTTATTTACAGCACATTATTTATGATTTAAACACTTAAAACTAGTGCTATAGTAACATTTGTGATAGGGGTAGTTAAGCTACTACTACTAAGTTTAGTCACTATTAAGCCTATAAATTCTTTGAGACATGAGGTCGAAGACTCAAATGCAATTAAAACCCGCATCCTACTCTTCAAAGAGACGCACGACTGCATCGTCGCAGAACTTACTTATGCCACTAAATTATATGGGTACACAAAACCCTATCGCAAAAGAGCATTTACTACCTCTCAATAACTAGAGTACCGATTATATCGATAAGGAGCAGAATAATTCCGTCTCTAATGGACCCGCCGCTGTGCATAAGGAGATTTACACTTTCTAAACTATTTCAAAAGGAGTTTGGAGGATGGATTAGAATATTGAAAAGTTACTAGATACTTGTTGCTGTAATGTCTGTGAATCTGATTAAATGTATCAGTTTTAACTGAAATTAAAGCAAAAAGGAGTTTTTTTTTTTTAATTTTGTTGCTTATATGGGTGGACGAGCTCACAGCCCACCTGGTGTTAAGTGGTTACTGGAGCCCACGGACATCTACAATGTAAATGCGCCACCCAACTTGTGATATAAGTTCTAAGACCTCAGTATAGTTACAACGGCTGCCCCACCCTTCAAACCGAAACGCATTACTGCTTCACGGCAGAAATAGGCAGGGCGGTGGTACCTACCCGCGCGGACTCACAAAAGGTCCTACCACCAGTTTGACGTAAAAATCTATTGATGATTATTAAGTGGTTTCTCGTAAAAAGTTTTGGCAAAATGAAGCTAAGAAAGAGCACGCTTGACAATAGTGATTTGTGAATTAATTGAACTTTGTGGGCGTGATCTTTGTGTTAGTCCATATTAATGTGTTCTATTGACTGCCTCGTTAATAATGATTGTAGAACATTTTGGAAAATGTATCATACCAAAAAAAACTTCTTCGGCTATTCGAATGAGGTAAACTTAATTGAATTTCAATTAAAAACATCGGATTGTTGATACTAATGCCAAATAAAATGGAACTTAACTTAAAAAGTACAAAGATAATTGTCGCGTATTAAGCGAAATGTCGCTTAAACCATCTTTCACCCCTCGATATATTTTTACTGTTTATAATTTAAATCTCATTTAAAAGTAGAAACGTAAAATTACGATTTTTTTTATCCCCTATTCCTTGAATAATCGTGATTCAATAAAAGCATTTTTTTTTATTGCCCTTGTAGGCAAACGAGCATACGGTCCACCTGATGGTGAGTGGTTACCGTCGCCCATGGACTTCAGCAATGCAGGGGGCAGAGCCAAGCTGTTGCCTACCGCTTAATACTCTCCAGAAGCCTCGTTTGAAGAAGGACATGTCATAGCGCTCGGGAAACACCCATTAATTTAATGAGTACACAATTTAACACAATAACACAATATAATGAGTAAAACAAAAGGAAAAGGTATATGCACAGTGAAGTGAAGGAAATTAAATTGTTTTATAACAAAAGGGATGTGTAGCATCGGCCTAAAACAGAACCATCCGATATTTTGACTGCCAAAGCAATCATGCTTTCCGGTTAGAAGAGAGGGACATCCTTAAATCAAAACAATTGACAATTTGATTTCACGCATCAAAGTCGGCGATGGCAATCACGTTGCATTGTTTACAGGCTTTTTAACAACTTGAGAACAGGGGTGGCATCAGCTCATCGACTCGTCTACATAAAATATAACAAAACAGTACCATAGATTCAGTGTCATAGACAATTTAATAAATTTGAATAAAAAATAGTGTAAGAAAAAATGATTTTATTGTAAAAAAAAAGCATGGGGTGCATTGTATCAGAAATATTTTATGATATGAGTAGAAGGGTTATTTTGATAATATACTGAAAAGCACCCCACGATTTTTTACAATCAAATAATTTTTTCTTACATTATTTTTAATTTAAATTTATTAAAATTTATTTTCTATTTTTTAGTTGGACTTTCTATACAAGCGTATTTTGTTAGTTTTTTCAAACTATTATTTATTTTTCATTTTTTAGTTGAATTTCAATTTTTTCAATATTGAATTGTCATCGGTCCTTAATAAGTATACCGAATTTCGAGTTAATTCGACGTTTTGAAGGGGCTCAAAACCATGTTCAAAGATTCCGTTACAAACATACATAGACGTCTGAAGCTAATAAAAGCGTATTAAAAATACCTACGTAATTATGTCTAAATAAAAAAACGAGCGGCGTTACGTAGAATTTACAATTGATGCTGAATTCAATGACAAACTAAAACTAACTCATTCAATTCTGTCTTGTATCTCTAATTTCTATGTAATAGTTGTACCATAGCAAGCATCAGTCACAGTCAGAGCAAATAGCGCTCACGGGCCGCTCTAACTGATTCTAATGTGCTGATCATTTGTCTTGAAAACGTCTTGCCATTTCTCATTTCGAGCCGGCTTACATTGATTTTGGTGAAATATAATTCATAGTTATTCAAAGTCGGACAATTAACGTAATACTGAAAACTTACGTTTTTGGTCGGTTTATTACTTGCAAGTTTGATATACATAAAATATATTGATATGTCTGCATATCCGGTATTCATTTCAATTTCAGTTTCACTGGTGGTAGAACCTCTTGTGAGTTCGCACGGGTAGGTACTGCCTATTTCTGCCGTGAAGCAGTAACGCGTTTCGGTTTGAAGGGTTGGGCAGCCATTGTAACTATACTTAGACCTTAGAACTCATATCTCAAGGTGGGTAGCGGCATTTACGTTGTAGATGTCTATGGGCTCCAGTAACCACTTAGCACCAGGTGGGCTGTGAGCTCATCCAACCATGTAAACAATTAAAAAAAATATTAAATCAACTAACACACACTATGGCTAGATTATTTAAAAAATAATTAATAAATTTAATTTAAACGAAGCACAAAAAAGGTTTCAATTTTGTAATTTTGAAAAAATCTTTAAATCCAGGTAGTAAAAAAATAAAACAAAAACGATCGTTTCTCTAGTTATTAACTGAAAATTAAATGTAGGTCCACCCTCTAAATGATCATGAATAAGATATTCTGATAATTAATTTGTGCCAATTATAAGACTTGCAAACCTAATACAAAGATCATAAATTGTAAGCCCGGTCGGCTGAGACATCCCAGTAGCAAATCCTTTCACGTATTCCCGACAAGAAGATTTGAAAATTAAGACGACCGTTGCAAAGAGCTTTCAAACCTGTTTGACAGACGAATGTGTGTCCGATGTGGAAATCGAACCTCGTCCCACGGTGCAGCAGTCATATGCTAATATGACTATTAAGCATAAAATTTTTTTTTTTTTATTATTGCTTATATAGGTGGACTAGCTCACAGCCCACCCGGTGTTAAGTGGTTTCTGGATCCCATAGACATCTACAACGTAAATACGCCACCCACCTTGAGATATAAGTTCTAAGGTCTCAGTATAGTTACCCTTCAAACCGAAACGCATTACTGCTTCACGGCAGAAACAGGCGGTGTTGTGGTACCTACCCGCGCGGACTCATAAAGGTCCTACCACCAGTAAAAATATGTTATATGTTTGTAAAATAAATTCAGAATTGTTGCAAGATAACATGATAAATAAATTGCACAAATGCATGGGAAGATAGACATTTAATATGCTTCTAATATTAATACACAAAAGTATTTTACCATTGATGCTGTCAAAACTCATCGCTAAATACCCAAATTATGAAAAAAAAGTGTGAATATCGAGATTTCAACTTCCTCTATTAACGTGTGATTAGTCTTTAGTGTGACTCACAAGAAAATACATTATTTTTCGATTTGTCTTTGTCGTAAACACATTTAGTATGGTCGGTGTGCACTTCGAATTTACCTGTTTTAAAAATACTCTGTTTGTAAATAATGAATTATTGGATCTCGTATTATTAAAAAGAGCATAACATTTTTGGAACGAATTTCCTTATGGGACGATGCGGAGGGGTACCTTGACCGGGAAAAAACGTCCGTAACGTAAGATTTTTATTAGTAATGCACACAGTGTACGACTTAACTTTGTAATAATGTACAAATTAGTAATGCACACAGTGTGCGACTTAACTTTGTAATAACGTACAAAAAATAACATATTTTTATTATATATTTTATATAAATCATTGTGAATAAAATAAAATTGATAACTTTGTAAAGTAGTTTTTTTTATCAATGAAAAAATCATACTAAAAAATTTATACCCGAATAATTATTTTCTTTATACCTCGAATAGAACTTGAAATTAATATTTTTATAATAAGGAATTTCGTTCCTATCCGGTGTCCCACGACACCACACATCCTTTTTCCAATAAGCATTCTATTTATCTTGAGATTGCAATGAAATGTACTGACTCGGTAACGCAGTAGATAGCGCCCTTGACTGCAGGGTCGTAGGTTTGGTTCCTATATTGGGCAAACATTCTCCTGATCATTTACATAACAATAGATAATTACGTACAACAGGCTTCTCGTTAAGATCGACATCTTCCATAATCTGATTGTGGACTATACATGCAACATATAACTATTGTAATAATATCTTCTAAATAGTATATAACACCAATATA